TTGCATGATATTTCATAAAATTGGTGGTGCACTTAATAAAATAGAGTTCAAATTTTACTTATTTAGGGTTTGAGCTATTACTGAAAAATTTTCAGAATTTTTTTTTTGCTTATTGTTAAAGTTTAATGCCATGGCTCCCGGCCCTAAATGAGAAAAATGTTTCTTCTTAGATTTTTACATTGTTCTTGATATTTATATATGTAAATGAATCTTTACTCTAACAGTTTAAAAAAGGTGTTTTTCTTTAACTTGAGTTAATTTTTGTAGTTTTAGCAGAGTTTTTTTTACTCTTCGCCCAATTTGCCTCAATATGAGTAAACGGGCTTTGTGTATTTTTACATTTTTACCCATTTGTCCTAAATGGGCAATTGGGCCAAGAGCAATCAAAGTTCTGTAGAAGAAATTAGACCTAATATTTTTACCTGTTTTCTTGTTATTTATAAATGTTAATGAATTTGTTTACCCTGACCGTTTGAAAAAACTCTATTTCTTTATCTAAAGTTAATTTTTACGGTTTAAACGAAGCTTTTATAGCTTTTGATCCAATTATCCCAAATGGGTAAACGAGGAGTGGAATTCTTACCTAGGGGCCCCTAATATGAGAATGATAATTTGTAGAATTGAATGCTTTAGTAAAAAAGAAAACAATAAAAATAATTCAGCATAAGTACTTCAATGAAATTCCTTCTTGATAGCATATGAAAAAAAAATTTATTATCAAAATTTAGTGCCAGAAAAACTCAAAAAATCTTGACGCGAAATAGGCGTTATTGAGCCCAACATATATTGTCATAACTTGGGAACCAGTTATCCAAATTTAAAAAATGAACACATTCTGAAAGCTTCTTCATTATCCGCATATAATGGTATTAATTATAACAAGAGATAATTGTAATAGTAAAATCGTTTGATGTGCCTATTGTAAATAAAATCAATACAACATTCAATATTTTTTGTTCTACTAATAGAGCTTTTTGTTTATATTATACAATTATACAGTGTAATTACTACTCTTTAATTAAAAACCGCAAAAAACCGCAAACAACCGCCGTCTATTTATTCTGCTTTCGGAATTTTTAAACCTATTATTAAAATTCACCTTTTCGATATTATTCTGGAAAGTCCTTTTTTGATTTTATTCCTTTTTCACAGTTTCGATATAATTCCAGAAAGTCCCATTTTGATATTGTTCCTTTTTTTACAATATCGATCCAATTCCGTTGTTTGAAATTTCGATACTATTACGATACTATTCCTTTATTCACACTTTCGATATTGTTCCGGTAAGTCTATTTTCAATATTAATCTCTTTTGAGCTGTTTCGATATTATTTTGCTTTTAGGATTTTCGATACTAATCCTTTTTTAACAAATTTGAAATGTTTTCTTTTTCGATATTATTCCGAAAAGTCTCTTTTCGATATTATTCCTTTTTTCACAATTTCGAGGTTATTCTATTTTTCGGATTTTCGATACAATTCCTTTTTTTACAATTTCGATGTTATTCTTTATTTCGATGTTATTCTGGAAATTCCATTTTCGAGATTAATCAGTTTGGCTGTTTGGCCAATTCGATACTGTTACTGCTACCCTTGGCTTGGCTGTATTGGACCCCAACGTAACAAGTGTAAGTTGATTAGCGACGGCATAGTAGGGTTAAGAAAACGTGAACGAACGTGTATGCAAATGTCTAATGTATGTAAACTTTAATCTAAGTAATGTTAAAACGTTCTGAAACTTTTATCAAGTTTTACAGTTTGATTTTTATTTAAAAATTGCATTGCGTCAAGCTCTTCTCAACTTTGATGTACAGCATATCTTTCAAAAAACGTCATTACGTGGATTTAAAAATTTTCGTTTAACAACGTGCCAGCGTGGCCTAGTGGATAGCGCACTTAACATCTGAACAAGTAAGCCCTACCATTTAAAACTTTTTTTTTATTTTTTTCGACTAATAATTAATACAAAATACTTTTAAAGTTTTATAGTGTTTATGAAAACATATGTAAGACATAATTATACACTTCAACGAACGAAAATATTTTTAAAAAGATAAAGTTTTTAAAAACATCAAAACACCGGGAGAAAAAAATTGTTGTGTATGTGTCGCGATCGAGATACTTATGTAAAAAACGTGTTCAGGTAATTATTCCTTATAGGCTGCGGATGGCATGAAAAAAAAGTTGTCAAAAACCTAATAAAAAACTTTTTAAAACAACTCCAGAAAGTGCTGCCAAAAAAAAAAAAAAAATTTTTTTTTACCCTAAGCCGTTTTGAAAAACGGCTGCAGTATGGATAATACAACAAAAATATGTTATAATGAGATAGTTTGACCCAACTAAACCAAAAGAATTAAAAGTAATTGCAGTTCAGTGTTTAAAAATTTTAATATAGTGAAAAATTTTATTATAGTAACTGTAGTTCAAAATTTTATTATAGCACTTAAAAGTTTTATTTATAGTGCGTTGGTTTTTGAAAAGAAACCTTATATAAATTATTTTTTAATTTTGATATAAACTAATTTTTTTTTAAACTTAGTTGCGCTCAACCATTTCTATGTAAACAATGAATATATAAACAAATATTTTATTTGTTTATATATATATATTGTTTATAAAATGTCAAAAATCTACTTATTTATAATGTTTTATGTAATATAAGTAAACTTTTCTAATAATGACAAGTCTTTTTTGCTCAAGCTGTTGTGTTTTAATTTTTTGTAGTTATGTTATTAATTTTAAATAAATTGACAAGTTTGAAAATCACGAAACATATTGTCATATTGGAAAAATTGAAACTTCAACTTTAGATTTGCCCATCTCTTAATACTTTCTAGTTGCTAAAATTATGTCATCTGCTTTTTATATTTTTAAAAATGATAGTCAAAAAAATAAGATTTTGTTAAATTTTTTTTAAAAAACTCTATCTATTAAAGATATATGGAATATATTTTTGTGTGATGTATTCTAATAAAGTCAAAAACTATTCATTTATTTCTTTTTTAATAAATACAATCTTTTATCCGTGAAAATAATATATATGTACCAGTTTTATATATTTTTATGTATTTATATGCAACATAATGAAAATTCATTTAAAAAATGTAAGATAAATACAAAAGGAAACTTGACGCATAAAGGTTTTTTTTTGCCACAAACTGACATCAATGCCCAAAATCTTTTTGGCTAAACTTTTAGATAAGCGTTTAATATTATTCTTTATTTCTTAATTATTAGAATTAATTTTTTTTATGACTTTGTATAGTGCTTCGATCTGCTTAGATCTTCTTAATTCCATTTGAATAGCGTTACGTACAAACGTATTCAAGTGTAAACGTCTTTAGCATATGTTGCGTTTACAGGCATTATATGTAATAATCGCATATATCTATACACCTATAAAATGAGAAAACTTGAAAATTTTAATTTTAATTTTAGAAATCTTTGTTTCTATATTATTATTTTTTTGCTATAAGTATTTAAGTGAGTATATAAGCAAGATTAAAAAAATTTCAAAACTTATTACGCTAAGAGAAGGTCTTAAACTCTCCAAAACAACACTGATGACAGCGCATTTAATCACTGAGCTATCAATTTAATGCATTTAGCAGAAAAAAATCGTAATTGTAAGTCTCTTATAAGCTTTACCCCAGCAAACATGTAAGCGTTGAATCAACGTTGAAAACCAGTCGCAGCGTAGAAAAAGCGTTACAGTCACAAAAACAACGTGCTTTCAACGTTGAATCAATGTTTGTTTTTTATACTAAATCGCGGTAAATTGAAACGTTGAATAAGCGTTGAAATTGTAACGTAATTTAGCCTCTCAAAATAAAACGTTTATTCAACGTGGAATCAACTTACGCAAAAAGCCACTTTAAAAACGTTTCAAAGTATATGCTTTATCAACGTTAAAAACAAACCGCTTTTTAAACGTTACATTATCAACGTTTAATAAGCGTATAAATGTAAACGTACCTTATCTTCTCAAAAAAATGCGTTTATTAAACGTTGAAAATAAGTACGCAAATAATCACTGTAAAAACGTCGCAAAGGTAATGGTTCATCAACGTTTGACATTAGCTGCTTTTTCAACGAATTTAAACTATTTGAAAAACAACACTTATTCAACGTTATTTCAACGTTGGTTGAAAATGTGGTAATTAAAAAACATTGAAAAAGTGTTACTTTGCCAACGTTAATAAAACGTTGTTTTGACAATGTTAAGGAAGTGGCACATTGAAAATTATTGTCTCAATAACTAGCCATTACAAAAATAATTTGCTTTAATGGAAAGGCAAGGAAAACTTGATAGAATGCATGCATATGGTATAAAACTTTTTTTAATAAAGTTATATTTTATAGCCTATTTTATTGCGACTAATTTAAAACTTTTAGATTTTATATCAAAATGTATATAAAGTACATAAATCTCGATTCACATTTATAAAATATTATCAAAATTAATAAAACATAATAAGTCAGACTAAATTAAGTTTGTTAACAGAATAAATTTTTTAGTTTATTTAAAAATTATCTTTTATACATACATACATATATATATATATACATATATCTATACATATATATATATATACATATATATATATACATATGTATATATATATATATATATATATATATATATATATATATATATATATCCAAATATCCAGTGCAATAAAATTTTTTCCAAGTCTCCCTTGTAAACATTTTCAAAACATGACAGTTATGTGTATACACATAAAGACTATGTATTCATATATATATATATATATATATATATATATATATATATATATATATATATATATATATATATATATATATATATATATATATATATATATATACATATATATATATATATATATATATATATATATATATATATATATATATATATATATATATATATATTTATATCTGTGTGTGTGTGTGTTTGTGTAAATAATGTATATATAAAGATTTATATATACATAATTTACATATACATTAGGTTTGAAGCAGACGCAGTTGTTCCATCTTGTTCGAAAAAAGATGGATGGTTATTTTGGTCAACTTGTGTTCATGCAATGAAAGCTACCTATAATAATTTTTCAATCATTGACTCATGCAAAAAAACTTAGACTTAAAAGAGTTAAAGTAACTGGAGGTCATGAAATTTTTAAGTAATTATTGCTATTTTAATTGTTTTATATGAATAAAAAAACTATTATAGCTTTATTTTAACGGTAAAGTTAAAATTATATCAAATAAACTATTATATTTTTATTTCCGAATAAGTAACATTTTGAATCTGGTTATGGTATTATTACTGCCTAGATATATATTGTAATCTGTTTACACTTATTCTACTTTTTTGTTTTTACAAATTTTTGTTTATATTTAATTTACTAAATAATTACTAATAGATAAAGAAGTATGTGCAGGATTTAATTTCACAACTAAAGAGGACTCCAAAGAAGAATGTAAGTAATTATGTTTGTGAATAATTTTGTTTCTCTTCGGATTTAACTTTTCTTTGTTTTTTATATAGTGAAGAATAAAAAAAAATTTAATATTAACTATTGGTCAAAGCTGATTTCAATAATACTGTCTAAATTTTTTGACTTGTGGTAGTTTGATTACCAGTATAAATTTATTTAGTAAAGTTCTGGTGGATCAAATATCGAGGAATGATTTGGTTTTAACTGGTTTTCATCTTATGAACGAAGTACATAATATGATTTAAATTAATGATTTATAGTTACACCTATTGAAGTAAGTTATATTTAGTTAATTAATGTATGAATACATGACTACTTTTAGTTGCAAAATTTATATATATATATATATATATATATATATATATATATATATATATATATATATAATATATATAAAATATATATATATATATATATATATATATATATATATATATATATATATATATATATATATGTATATATTATATATATATATATATATATATATATATATATATATATATATATATATATATATATATATATATATATATATATATATATATATATAGAAAATTTAAATAAGTTCCAGTTTGAATAACCGTAAATTTACTGTATATATTTATTATTGTTATTATTATTGTATAATATGTTATAATAATTAAAGGGTTTTTTTTTGTCAATATAGGAATACCAACAATATTGCAATATTTTTTTTATAGTAAATAAATGAATTTCGTTGTCTAACAAAAATTGTGGATTTTAAGTCCAGAATTTAAATCCATAAGACACTTTAGTTAATAATACTGTTGAAAACTAACCAAAAGTCTCTAGAATCGACATCTAAGATAAGATACAAGGTTTAGTAAACTGAGAATAACAGAGATTTACATCAGACAAAACTTTATTTATACATTAGCTTATTGCAATAATAAAAAGGACAATTTTTTCTTAAGAGAGATGTTCTTATAAAAAAGCTGCAAAATGTAGTTAATGTTGAAAGATGTAGAGTAGAATGAGGCTTGATTTAAAACTGAAGAGAAGTAATAAAAGCTTCTAAACTCTTATTCCAGAAGCAATATAAGCTTCCAAGATGCACTTTTTGCACACATATTATGGATATAAGCATATTTGTTTGCTATTTGTTTAGATGCTGGCATACAATATCCTTTCATTGTTGTATAAACTTTAGTATTTATATAGTGTAGTATTTGCCGAAAGAGAAAATGATCAGATGGATGTGTGGTGTGACTCTAACAAGACATAAAAAGTAGCCATAATCTTAGACAGATTAGAAAAAACGTTGTATCAAACAACCTTTTTTTTTAGAAAAAGTTAAAGTAATTCAGGTATTAACATGTAGAGTGGTAGCAGCTTCAGTATAAAATGGTTGTGGTAGAAGTAAGAAAGTTTGAAGAGTGTGCTTTACAAAGTGCCATAATAAAGATGATCATGATGATCATGATGACGATCAACAACATCAACATAATTTTTATTATCATTGTCAAGCTTTCTGCTTTTATGCTGTTGATGATAATGATGATCATGATGATTATGATAATGATGATGATAATGATGATGATGATGATGATGATGATGATGATGATGATGATGATGATGATGATGATGATGATGATGATGATGATGATGATGATGATGATGGTAATGATGATGATGGTGATGATGATGTTTATGATGATTATGATGATCATGTTGATCACAATGATGTTCATATATGCATATATATACAAAATATAGCATGAATTTTAAATTTAAAAAATATACTTTAGGATGTATAAATGTTTATGCAGCCTGGTCTCAAATCCGGCCCTGGCCCCGGCTTTATTTTATCAAACCCGGCTCCAACTCCAGTCAAATATCAACCCCAGTTGTTTACTAAAAAACAATTTAAGAATAAAAAACGTCGTGTTATTTTTAAAAACAATTACTTATTTTATGCTATTACGACAATCACAATATATATATATATATATATATATATATATATATATATATATATATATATATATATATATATATATATATATATATATATATATATATATATATATATATATATATATATATATATTTACTTTTTAAATTTAATAATAATCATACTAATTCAATAACATTTTTTAAACATTTACTTTCAGATTGATAATGATACAAGTTTTATTTTTTGATTCAGATTCTGTATCTCAATGATATCCTGGGTTATTGATACGATATCCTGTAAATCCACTCACACATAAATTTTACTCACACACGTAAATCCTGTAAATTCACTCACACACATAAATCTTAAAAAAGATGTTTATATTTTTATCTATAAATTGTAAATTTTATATAAGTAAAATGTATATTTTTTATGTTTTTCATTGTATATTACTATTTGTATTAATCGTCTATGGAAGTATTGCAAGTGCAGAGTTCAACATGCAATTTTGTTTTATTTGCAAATTCAATATACATTATAATCAAGTTTAATCACGTTTAATAATATTTTGCGATATTTTCTCCAGCGCATTTGAGCGTTGACTTAACGTTATATTTCTACCTTTACTCGACGTCTTTGAGTCACGTTAAATCGACGTTTTTATACCAACGTTACAAATCCTTGCAAAATCGACTGCTTTAACAACGTTAAAGTAACGCTCTCCAAGTAACGTTTTTTCAACTTCAAGTTGCGGCGCCTATGCAACGCTTTTTAAGTAACGCTTTTTCAACGTTTAGTTGAGACATTTTTGTAACGTCTTTTAGTAACGTTTTTTCAACGTTACGCTACAACGATTAATCAACGTCTCTTTAACAACGTGACATAGCTTTGCAAAATCGATTACTTTAATAACGTTTCCGCAACACCTTTTGCGACCGGTTTTCAACGTTGATTCAACGCTGACATGTTTGCTGGGACGTATGCGGAAAAGGTGCGCATGTTAAGTTTTGCTCTTAAATTTTTTTTCAAAATAAATTATTTTACTAAAAAACATTGAAATAAATAAGGAGTAGGTATAGAAATAATCGGTAAGAAATAGGTAAGTCAATTGGTAAAGATCTGTATTTTACGGATCCGGAAAGCTAGGATATATAAGAAAAAAGTATAGAAAAGTTTGTTTTGGAATAGATATACAAAGACCCGTATTACTACAGGTCCGATCTCAGCTAGTAATAACAATAATAACAATAATGTATAAACAATAGTGAATTGTTTGAGAAATCATGTAAAAAACCTTGGTTGGGAATAAGTTCGAATATATTCGTTTTTAATTTTTGAGAGGTATTGGCTTTTTTAAGTTTACAACTTAGGCTTGTAAAATGGTTCTCGAACCATTTTACAAAACCTTTTTCGATATTTTTGACTGATTTTGAAAACTTAAATTGTGTAATTTTGAAAATAATTAGTGTATAAATATCAAGTGTCCTCGTGCATTTTAGAAGAGGTTTAGCATTTGTGAAGCAATTTTAAAAATGAATAATGCGTGCTGCATGATTCTGTTATTTAAGGAGATATTCGAAAATAGACTTATTTGTACTACCTCAGACAATATTGCCATAAGATAAATAACTATTTATGAATGCAAAATATAGCGTCAGTGTAGATTTGCCTAAGATTTGTCTGGTTTTATATATAATGCCAATATTTCTTGAGATTTTATTGATAAGATGTTTAATATGATCGCTCCAGGATATGTTTTTATCTATTAGAATACCAAGTAACTTATTTGTGAATAAGCGCTCAATTTCGTTGTTATTTATATATATAGCATTGGTAAGGATTTTGGAATATATTAAGACTTTCGTTTAGAATAGAATAAAGAAAACTTAGTTTTATCAGTGATTAAAGAGGCTGTTAGCGATAAGCCATTTTGATATTTGTTCTAGTTGATTATTTGCTACTTGAAATACAGAAATAATGTTACTGTGAGAATAGAATAAAGTAGTGTCTTCTGCAAACATAATAATAGACATAGTATTTGATGCTTTATATAGATTGTTGACATAGATCAAGAACAGAGGCAGACCTAAGATGGAGCCAAAGGTCCAATTTAAATCTGATCGTTAACGGTGTCAAATGCTTTTGACAAGTCTAGAATATACCTAAAGTGAGTTTGTTATGAGAAGATACTTCACTGATAACTTCAACAAGTTGCCTAAGTGCATGTTCCGAAGAGTAATTTGATCAAAAACTATTTTAGTTATAATAAAGAAGAATGTTATTACTAAAAAATATATACAGATCCTATTATAAATGATACGTTCTATATATCCCATTACAAATGATACGTTCGAGGACTTTTGAAAAAACAGGTAACACCTATATAGGTCGATAATTTGTAACCATCTCCAGATTTAAAAATGGGTGTAATAACTGCAACTTTCAGTTTATCTGGAAAAACACCTATTTTAATGGGTTTGTTAAAATATATAATACAACATCTTTAATAAGTTCATAGCAGACTCTGATTCTTTTAAAAAGTTCATAGCTGACTTTAACTATTTTGGAAAATAACATTTAAGAATAGAGGTAACACCATAACAGCGTTAAATAAAAAATTTTGATGCATTTTGTGACATTTTAAATTTTAATTTGTCATTTAGAATTATGGTGAGAAAAAACAATGTATTCTTAAAAGGGTTCAAATAACGATCAGCTAATCAACAGTTTTTGTTGAATGAAATTAAAATTAGCATATAAATTTGCCCCATCATTTTTCTACATTTTCTAAATATTTGCCAAAAAACGCAAACTAATCTGCGTTTACAAATAAAAAATTAATCAAGTGAGTTACTATGCGTTTAAATAATTTATTTGTATGCAAAATCTTGACTTTTAATGTTATTTTTAATCTGCATCGTACTTTATGTTTGTTTTTATATCTTATAATATAAACACGCATATAGTGTGATGTTGTAACACGATGGAAAGTGGAAAAAATAGTTTTTATAACACATCAAATGATATTTATTTAAAAATGTGAAAAATTGTTATGACTACTAAAAAAATACAAATTAAATATTTAAAAAAATCCAGCATATTAAATACAGCTTTTCAAAGAATCAAATTTAATAAAAAAGAATTAGGAATTCTATTTATGATCACTAAAATGACTGTGACTTAAAACAAAATATATATTCAGGGAATATGAATAATATTCACAGAAACCACCGTTTCTAAAAACTCTACACTTAAATTAATTCGAGCTCCATTCAACATAAATAAACCAACCAAAAGAATATTCACTTTCACATCACATTACAATGTCAAATTAATACATTTTAAGTTATTCAAATTTAAGTTGTAAGTCTTTTAAGTATTAAACCAATTATTTTATTGGTTCTCAGTGATAAGACCTTATTATCAGTTAAAGAAAAATATATAAAAAAGAAAAATACACAGATTTGACTAATATTTAGCGCCCTTAATAATATTAAGGTGATTAAAAAGTTCATACCAAAACATTCCAAACAACTAATTTCATTTTTATTATCAATAAATAAGCCGTCTGTTCGCTGCTATCAAAATGCATAAAATGTCTAAGTTTAAAACTTTTGCGGTAGGTTAAAGTTTCCTGTTGTATTGGAGTATTGGAACAACTAAACTTTTCATTGTCTTTTGTATTAACTATTTATTACTCCTTATTTCATTAGGTTACGTACTTATAAAGAAATACTGTATAATAATAAAAAATTGATAAAGAAAAATTATCGCCATGGTTTTACTCTAAATAAACTAATAAAGTTTTGCGTTATAAATAATTACTCAAAAGCTTCAAAAATAATTTTGGTAACAGCCAGAAAATAATACAAATATTTTTTTTCTATGGTAGACTCGAAAATTTTTTCAAGTATTATAAGCTGACTAGTTACTAGTACAATTAAATGTCTAAATATTTACAGTATAATTTACTCTATAAAAAAGTTTTAATAGAGCGTTTGCCCCCCACACGTATGAGAGACTTGAAAATATATTGAATTTTAGTTTTATATACATTAAAGTAGTGTTAAAAACAAATATTTGTAAACAATTTCATTTTTTTATTTTTCAATTTTTAGTGATTTAAAAGTAATTAGCGACAACAACAAAACAATCCCAAAAAAAAAACTTACCAAGCTTTCGCTATTTTTATTAAGCGTTTCACGCAATTAGTCTCTGCCTAATTCTATTTTACTGTTTAATTAAATGCAAAAAATCACTGTCTAATTCGGTTCTATATTGTATAAACATAGACTAGTTTTAATTTGACATAATAATAAGCTATAGACTAAAAAAGACAAGGAATATAAATGACAAAACTATAGTTATTTTACCAATTCAAGGAGAACGTGTTACCACCTAAAATCTCCCATCAACGGTCTACCAGATTGAGAGGTTCCTACCATGATATTACATTTGAAAAACTAAGTATGTAAATTTGTTTTCTTCAATTTTAAATTACGTAATAAATATTTCAAAAATAAAATAAGACTCTATATAATGTATATATTTTTGGACAGTTACTACTAAGTATTGAAGTAAATAAGGAATAGGTATAAAAATTATCGGTGTGGAATAGGTATGTATAAAAATAGTAAGTTCGGTAAAAACCAGTAATTTACGGATTCGAAAAGCTAGGATATATAAGGAAAAAGTATTAAAAAGTTCGGTTTGGAATAGACTTACAAAGAACTGTATTTTTACGGGTCCGATCTCAGTTAGTACAATATTTTGTCTTTAAAACTAATGAAAAATACGCCACTTTTTAACTAAAAAATATCAGTCAATTATCCTAAAAACATCTTTAAATAATTAAGTAGACGTGGTCTTAAAGAAAAATATAAAGACTTCTAACAGAATTGCGCAATGAAAATCTAAAACTCTCTGTCAGGTCAGGAGTATAGTCTTCATGATCATCCTGCTACTGGTAACATGTAACCCAGTGCAACCTGTTCCATGTTCTGCTGCCTTGCAGGATTTGCTTTCTAAGCAAAGGCTGGAAGGAGTGTTCTGTACTATCTAATATCAGTCATGCCTATAGTAATTTTTTTTTTTTTTTTTTTCCTTGTATAGTTGGAGGTGCCTTAGTTACTGTATTAGCTCACCTGTAATCTACGTTATATGTATGTTTGTGTTCTGTCTGAACCTCTGGCGCGGTGTTCGCTCACCCGTAAGTTACTTTATGTTTTTTATGTATGTTTGTGTTCTGTCTGAACCTCTGGCGCGGTGTTGACTAACCCGTAAGTTGATTTATGTTTGTTTGTGTTCTGTTTATATTCTAATATAGCGTGAGCTCAGTAACTAACTACTTACTCCAACTACAAAACCTACACTCACCTTAGACTCCTGTATTTTGTTAGATGCAGTGCTTTCCTAATGTACTTCCAAAATATCATGCCTGGTTTTCTCAAAGTACTGTTGCGGGAAGTAACTCCTTTTAACTACTCCAGGTCAGGTCAGGATAATCGAGACCAATCTTGCTACTGGTATCACGTAACCCAGTACCACCTCCCACAAGCCCTGCTGCCTTGCAGAGTGTGCTCTTCTTAGGCAAAGGCTAGGAGAAATAAACTCCGACTAAAAATTCCCCTGCCTTGGGGCTCTTGGTTGAGTAAAGGCTAGAGATGGTGTCTCGATAAAAACACTCATCTTGGGCAGATGTTAACTGCATCCAGCTAAACATCCCCTGCCTTGGGGCTCTTGGTTGAGTAAAGGCTAGAGATGGTGTCTTGATAAAAATACTCATCTTGGGCAGATGTTAACTGCATCCAGCTACTGTCTTGTAGAAGGCCTCCTAGGCAAAGACTTTAGGGGTAAGCAGAAAAATTCTGCTAACCAGCCTCGAACCCCTTCTTCATCTGTTAGGCTGGCGTAGATGTAACCTGTGTTACATTGTTTCCTGCCTAGGATAATGAATGCTGGATCTCCTTGACTCTACTCATAGAATTTTGCTTAAGTCTCCTTGATAATGGCTATGCAACTCTTCCTGTTATCTCCATATGAGGGTACAGCTCTAAAACTCAGTTTAATGGTTCTGAGGCCGGCTGGTAGTAAGGTTTCCCGAACTCTGTGGTAGCGCTCAGAGAGGCTGATTCCATCAACAGCTGCAAAATATCAGAGTATTAACAGTGCCATGTTGCGCATGGATGGTGTCCCTGTCAATGCTTTTGGTGTGCATTGTCAAGGCCACATAAGGAGCCCTATGTCACGGCTTAGGGTTAATTAACAGTACAAAGACAACTGCATAGCTCATTGATTAGGAGGCTGTGCTCTATCTATGAATGAGTCAAGTTCTCATTAAACCCAAATCATGACCAAAGTAACCAAAAATTTAAAACCTAAAAAACCATCCCCACCACCTAAATATTTTAATATACCTTTTACAAATATTCGCGATCTACGAAGCAACTTTCCATCAGTTAAGTCTTACCTCCTGCAAAATTCACCAGACTTGCTTGCACTCAGTGAAACAAAATTTAAATTCTGCAATTCCTTCTTCAGATGTCAGTGTTGATGGGTACTATCCTTTGATTCGTAAAGACTCCAATAGTCACATGCTAGGTTTAGGGGTATACATACGCATTAATTCCCCTATTTGTCGTGAAATCAGGTTCGAATCCTTTGACCATTCTTTTATGTGCTTTCGCCTAGCACCTCTTCACTCTATCACCTTTCTCTTTGTTCTTTATCGTTCTCCTTCTTCCCATGATTGCACTCTCTTAGATGTTATCTCTGATCAAATTGACCATGCCCTCTCTCTGTTTACCCCTCTGCTAATATTGTTGTTGTTGGTGATTTTAATGCCCATCACACTGAATGGCTTGGCTCTAACACCACTGATCCTGCTGGCACTAAAGCCTTTAACTTCTGCGTTTCTCAATCTCTTACTCAGATAGTTAACTTTGTGGATCGTTTTCCTGACAACCCTAATCATTTACCTTCACTCTTTGACTTATGTCTTGTCTCTGACCCTAGCTTATGTTCAGTTTCTTCCTTTTCTCCCTTTTCTCCCTTTTCAGGTGGTTCTGACCATGCAATGATCTCTATAAATCTTTCTTCTCGTACTTCTTTTTTGGGCTCACTTTATCATCGCACCACCTACTACTACCCTAAAGCTGACTGGGATTCCTTTCGTGATTTTCTTCGTGATGGTCCTTGGGCTGATGTTTTTTCTCTCTCAGCTGACAAATGCGCCTCCTAAATAATCTCCTGGATTCAGGCTGGAATGGAAGCTTTTATTCCTTCGCGTCGGTTTCAAGTCAAGCCTCATTCTACTCCATGGTTTTCTCCTTCTTGTGCGGCTGCTATATCCAATCGTAATCATTTTTTTCATCTTTTTCAAAAGAACAACTCTCTTGAGAACAAACGGCTATTTATTATTGCAAGAAATCAATGTAAAAAGGTGCTTTCTGATGCTAAACTCCATTATTCTCAGTTCACTAAATCTCGCATCTTATCACAGAAGTTAGGCTCTAAAGACTTTTGGAAAATCTTCAACAGCATTATTAACAAGGGTAGATCTAACATTTCATCTCTCATTCATGGGACTGATCTTATTACCTCTCCCAAGGATAAGGCAGAACTATTTGCAAAGAACTTTTCTTCTAATTCCACTCTTGAATCTTATGGACATTCTCTTCCTTCCATTCCAGTCAAACAGGTTGACCCATTGTTAGACATTCAAATCACTCCGGCTTCTGTTGCTAAAGTCATATCTCAATTAAACTCGTCTACAGCTTGTGGTCCAGACAACATTCCTGTCACAGTCTTGCAGAATTGTTCTCCAGAACTTTCTTCAATTCTCTCTAAACTATTTAACAAGTGTTTGACTGAGTCTTGTTTTCCTGCTTGTTGGAAAATGGCATCTGTGGTTCCAATATTCAAAAACTCTGGAGAAAATTCTGACCCCTCCAATTATCGTCCGATCAGTCTTCTTACTGTTATTAGCAAGGTCTTTGAGTCTTTGATCAACAAATTCCTCACATCTCATCTTGAGTCAAATAAACTACTGTCAGACAATCAATACGGTTTTCAATCCTCTCGCTCTACGGCCGACTTGCTAACTGCTGTTACTGAAAGATTTTATCGTGCATTAGGTGGAGGCGGTGAGGCTAGGGCTATTGCTCTCGACATATTTAAAGCTTTCGACAAAGTTTGGCATGCTGGTCTTCTCCATAAGCTTGCTTCATATGGTGTTTCTGGGAAAGTTATTGAGATTATCAAATCATTTCTTTCTAACCGGTTTATTAAAGTCATCCTTGAAGGCCAACACTCTTCTTTATTTCCAGTAATTTCTGGGGTTCCCCAAGGTTCCATCCTGGGCCCTGTTTTGTTTCTTATCTACATAAACGATCTTCCTTACAACCTTTCATCTAAAGTAGCTCTTTTTGTTGATGACTCAACTTTATACTCCTGTCTTGACAAAAAGTCTTCTCTTTTCGATCGCCTAGAACAAGCAGCTGATCTTGAATCCGATCTCACTTCAGTAATAGATTGGGGTTCACAGTGGCTTGTGAATTTCAACTCTAAAAAAAC